GAATATCCACTTCTGGCCCTGAAGTATGCTGAACCAACTCATCATGGGTGAATCCTGGCAATCCATAAAACACAAAAGGCCTACAGGCACTTACTATGATGTTCCCAAGCACATCATTTGGGGCACACACAACAAGATTGTATAAGACACTCAAAGCTGAAGCTATAAGGTGCATATATAATCTATGTGTGCATGAATCTGAGTTTGGCTGTTGTTGTTTTAAAACATGGATGACAATTCTTTGAATGCTTGACACAACTTCTGCTGGGAAAATTTCATCACAGTGCTGCCGGGCTTCAGTGACAATTTCTGGGGTAACGTAAGTTAGATGATGGAGGCATTGCATTGCTGAGGCTTGGAAACTCCATGGTGAACCTGCTTCCAAAGTTTGTATCAATGATCCTCTTGTACCACCTAAACTGATATATATCTGTAAATCATTGGATTATTATTATATGAAATGTATATAATACCCACAATGCTGAGGTGGTATTAATGTTCATGTTGATATTTATTATAAATAATTTTTTTTATCTTTCATGACTAAAATATTTAGGAATTATATAGGGTAATATACAATTAAAAATTAAAGCAAAAGAAAAGAAAAGTAGAGAAAAGATATTTACAGAACAATCACACTCACCTCATCTGTATGGTCTGGTGCATCACGCAACACCACAGACATGGCACACAAAATCTCCTGAATCGGTATCTCATTTTCAGGCTTATGCAAATTAAATCTAAGAGTATCACTGAGCCATACTATAACCCTGTCTGAGGTTTCAGATGAAAGGCTGACATTCCCTTGGTGGGTGAGTATGGATGTGACCAATCGAGCTACTTGTGAGGATTCAGGATTACTCGGATCCACCAAACCAGATACCAAGTGGGATATCAAACTGTGAATCAGCTGCAAGAAGAAAAAAACATCTTAGTTTCCATATAAAATAAATAAATAAATATGTACGAACATGCCATGCCGATTGCCTGTCTTGCCTGTTCATCCTTTTCATTGATTTATGAAAATATTCTATGTTATCTTATTTTGATGTTACAAATATCTATAACATTATAGTAATTATAATGTTTATAATAAAAATAACACTATCAATACTCATAGCACTACTAAAAACAATGTTTTTTTCTGCCAATTCAAGGAAAGGTGAAATCAGGTAAGGTCTCAAGATCTACTAATTGACTCCTTTGTGGCTAAGCACTAGCAGAGCTATCTATGTGCTGAGACATTTCACAAAGATATAAAAAAATGAGCGCAGCATTGTCCCCATTTTTTATTCATTTTCCCCGGCAGCAATGGGTTAACAGACTGATCTCGCATGATTTTCCCCTTACCTTTACCTTTTTTTTTTTTTGTCTAATGCTATTAATATTGAGGCTGCTTATCATTACTGACACTAATTATTACAGTTATTAACAGTAATTAAAAAAAAAAAAAAAAAAAAAAAAAAAGACTAAGTATTTCTGAAAATCAAGGAAGGGAGTAAACAGGTGAGATAGGTCAGACTGTGATTAACTCATCGGTGACTAAACACCTGTGGAGCCATCTATGTCTAAAGGCAATTAATAAACTAAACTCAGTGTAGCCATGGCATGTACAATAACTATCATCCTTGGTACCACCTGCCAAACCTTTATTGCAAATCTTTAAAGTACAATGGAAACAGACAGAAGCTTTAGTGATTTGTAGTCAGAGCTCTAGCAAGTGTCACAGGGATTCAAAAACAGACATCTGATAGTCACATATAACAAACTCATAGTCCTTGATCTACCCTACATGTAATAGGCATGGTACCTGTTATGTTAGTCCTTTTATAATCTTTAGGTATAAATTTTCATATGTCTTAATCACACCTTTGTTACATATTTTCTCATTATTAGCACTCATGTATATTTTAAATGATATCTAAAGATATTATCCTTGTAACAGGGCATGAACAGAGCTAAAGCAATGGGATTGTGAGTGGCTAGAAAAACTGCCTCATTCAGAATATGTAAGAGGAAGTGGGGAGCTGGTCTCTCTCATTTGCTCAGCTCAGTAGATTATGAACCAAAGTATTAGTACATCATCAAAGTGGTGGAATATAAGAATATAGTGAATTTCTTTCAGGTGACATTCAGACATTCACGGAAAAGAGAACAAAGTACTATGAATAAACAGTAAAAAAGAATAAACACCAGACTAATGTGACCAATGTACTGTTACTTAAACAAGTAACTGCTCCATATTAGGTAATATATTTTTGTATCTTAAAAAAAAGAAGTGAAGGAGCAGTTACACATAAGAATACGCAAGTGTGACAAAGTGACACATCATGGTTACACGTAAAACTGAAGGATGATCACTTTTATAGCAGTTCAAAAAATAACAGTTCTACTCTTTTTCTCATAATATCCTGTGTGGTGTTTGCTTTATCCAACTTCAAAATTTTCCACTAATTATTCTTAATTGGAATGTGTATAGACAGAGAAAAACAAACGTAACTCGTAAAAAATATGTATAAACAACATACCATTCGGTATAATAAATTATTTTGCACAAAGTAAAAGTAGGTAATTAAAGTCCATTAATCTACATATTAAGTGATACTGTGCCTCTATGCTTAGCTTCCAGGAACAGTCACCAAATGACATACATTTTACCAAGATAGTGCCCGTGAAGCAGACTCAGACTCAGGCTGTGGCATCACTTTATTTAGATATACGTTTATCCATTTTCAAACAAAGCATTTTTTTTTTTTAAGGATAAATATGTCAAGAATAATTTCATCAAAACAGAAACTAAGTACAAACTTGTAGTTTCTGAGACTCTGTCAATTGTGGCTCCAATAAATGCTAAATTAGGTCGGGTTAAGTTTTATTTCAGTTTGGTTAAGGTAAAATAATGTTCAAGTTTAGTTTTGAGTTTTCAAGGTGAATAAACTCTTAGATTCTAAGAAGATCTCACCAGGAGGGGCCGTGGTGTGGTTTTATTTGCTTTGATTGGGCTGTACAAGGGCTATGTCATTTAGTTTTGGTCTGGCTATGTTGTGCCGTGAATGCTGGTTGGTTTGTGTGGACAAGGTTAAGGTTAGGCTTAGGTTTTATCTAGATTTTGGAAATGTTTGATCAAAAGAATACCCTAGTTCACACAGGCCTGTTTGAGATATCCCTAATCTTAAAATAGGTGGTCAAATTACGGGGAAAAAAAATATATATATATATAATATATATAGTTCAGTACATACAGACAAAACGGAGAGAATGGCCACTATCTAGAACTTAATCAAGCTCTAATGACGGCCAGGAATGCTACAAATGAATACAAGAATAAGAATATAAAAAAACTTTTCGAAAGGCGTGCCATGCGGCCCGTCATGCGATCAGCTGATTGGGCGCCATGGAAGACCTTCTCACCCTCTGGTCATGTATCACTCGTAATTTGGGGCTCCTGGCCTGTAACTCCTCCAAGATGTCGCTGATTGATCTGTCGTCAGTTCCCGTTGGCTTTCTTTTGATTTTCAACAGTGCTTCGGCCAAATCATTCCATTTTTGACGGTTTTCTGCTGCGTGGTCCATGGTGGTCGGTCGCTGTGCTCTCGCTCTCTCTCTCTCACTTTCGCTTTCTCTCTCTTTAGCTCTTTCCCTCTCATTCATGCTCTCTCTCTCCGTCTTTCGCTCTCTTTCACTCTCTCTCACTTTCGCTCTTACTCTCTTTTCCTCTCTCTCTCTCTCTCTCACTTTCGCTCTTTCTCTCTCTTTAGTTCTTTCCCTCTCATTCGTGCTCTCTCTCTCTCCGTCTTTCGCTCTCTTTCACTCTCTCTCACTTTCGCTTTCTCTCTTTTCCTCTCTCTCTCTCTCTTTCGCTTTTTTCCTCTGTCTCTCTCTCTCTCTCTTTCGCTTTTCCCCTCTCTCTCTCTCTCTCTCTCTCTCTCTCTCTCTCTCTCTCTCTCTCTCTCTCTCTCTCTCTCTCTCTCTCTCTCTCTCTCTCTCTCTCTCTCTCTCTCTCTCTCTCTCTCTCTCTCTCTCTCTCTCTCTCTCTCTCTCTCTCTCGTTCCATTCGACTCAGAAACCAAGGCCATGTATTAAACTGCACTTAGACCTTAATGTTAAAAAATAAAGAACTAAAAAAAATGAGATATTTTACTTTTGCGAGTGCGTGAAAAGACTAAAAGATTCGTAAATAGATGAGAATAGTATCAAATGATAATAAGAAAACTAGCTAGTAAACATTAAACCTAGCTTCGACAAGAATCTTGCAAAAAAAAAAAAAAAAAAAAAAAAAGAAAGAAAGAAAGAAGAAAATAAATAGAACTTGTAGCAATTGCTAAAGTAACTAGTTACTGACAGAATAGGAATGTAGTGCATCATCTGACAAGTAAAGCATATCTACAAAAAAAATATGAAAATATTGACATTTGGCATCATGAGCGGCATGCACGTCTGCCTGCCCGAGCTCGACATCGACATCAGTGGCGGTCGAGCAAGTGGTGAGGCCGGTGGTGAAATGCCTCTTATCGAAGTCTTTTCGTCTTTTCGTTATCACAAGTGATAAGATCTATGCTGGAAAAGTGGTTGTGTTTGCGGAGCGGTTTAGTGTTCATAGAAAACGGCCTGTTTTTTTTTTTTTTTTTTTTTTTTTTTTTTTTTTTTTATAAATCATTAATATTCTTATCAATGTTAAAGTTGTGATTCACGTACGTTGACGTCATGGTTTTACGATAAGACGTTCAAAAAGTGTCTTCCTTTTTATCGGCGTTCAAAGTGTAACGGAAACGACTTACAAATGTGTGTGCTTTCAGAAAAATAAGAAAGTGGAGAGCCATGTAGCAGGTGGAGCGGAAAAGAAACCAAAAGTAATTTTACGAAGGAAATATCAACGAAGATGAAAGATAATTTTGTCGTCTGGGGATCCAGGTCCTGAGAAGTAATGGCAGAGACACAATCTGGGAAATGATAACGATCTCATTACATGATACTCCTCAGATCTACCACTTATGCCAATG